GATGCTCGACCACTGAGCCACACCAGCCGGGCAGATCAGACTTTTTAGCATGACTTGAGTTTTCATTTTAAGTATAATATTCAAAGAGTATAATAAAAATAACTGATAGAGGAATACATCTTAAAAGTCAAAATTAAAATGAAATGGTCCATTATAATAGATTTATTCATTTTTTAAAAGCAATGAAAAGCAAGATAATAAATAGTAGGTTGGTTCTTATTATTAACAATGCAACATAATATAATATATAGCTGAAATTATGTTATTTGTGAAATAAATATTATCCTTTTGACTGGAACGCCGTCTTCCGGTAATTCGCCGCAATGACTGTCCCAAAGGGAAAGAGGAGAGCCACGCCCTCTAAGTTCTCTAGGCCTTTTAGAAAACATGGAGCTGTTCCTCTGGCCACATACATGTGAATCTGCAAGGAAGGTGCAGTTGTAGACATCACTGGAAGGGGCACTGTTCAAAAAGGAGTGCCCCACGAGCGTTGCCATGGCAAAACCGGAGGAGTCCACAGTGTCACCCAGCCTGCAGTGGGCATTGTTGCAAACAAACAAGTTAAGGGCAAGATTCTTGCCAAGGAAATTAATGTACGTATTGAGCATATGAAGCGCTCTGAGAGCCGAGACAGCTTCCTGAACGTGGGAAGGAAAATGATCAGAGTAAGAAGGAAGCGGAGAGAAAGGTGCCCGGGCGCAGCGGACGCGCCAGCCTGCGCCCCCCAGGGAAGCACGCTTTGTGGGGGCCACGGAAAGGGGCCCGGGCTGCTGGAACCCGTTCCCCGTGAATCCAGGGCATGACGGGTGTACCAAAATAAAAGACCTCTGTACTGTTAAAGACTGTAAGAGGCATAGTATTCTTTCTGCAAATGTGTGAGAGGCCATATACCAACATGTAGTATTAGGCTTTTGAGATTAATTAAAGAGTAATCAAGTATAAAATTCAGAAATCCCATTAAATTCATTAGATGTCATAATAACTTTTTTCCTATTTATTTAACAAAAAGGGAAGATACATATCCACAAAGGTAAACTCATTGTTGATAGGACCACTACAGGTTTGCTTCCTACAAGTACAGACTCTGATATATTCTACTTTGCTTGATTCCTATCAAAAGAGAAAAATGTATGTTGCATTTATAATGCTGCATTATCAGGAGATAACTTTTTTGACGAGGTATTAAGTTAAAACTAAATCCTTCTTTTATAATTTTATACATGTGGTAATTAGAAGAATTTTCCATAAATGAACTTCTGGCCCTGTACATTTCAAACCTTGTTTTTCCTCTATTACCAGCACACTTCAGTGTTGGGCACCATAGGACATATTCTTATGAACCTATGGTCCTGCACCTTCATGTCACATCACCAGTTTGGTAGGCACTGTGGAAAGTAGTAGATTTCCTGCGAGGCAACCTTATGTCAGGGTGACTAGCAACAACCTAACCAGTGACACACTGGACCAGGCAGGACCCCTGCCCTGGGGCCTCAGCTTTGGAGAGCTCAGCTCTGACCTCTGGCCACATGCCTCCCTTTAGAGTAAAGAGTGTATGGGGCCAAATGGGCATACCCTATTAGAGCCCACACCCTGCCTTATAGACCACACACACTGGGTACCCGAGACTCTGGAATTCCCTGCCCATTTTTTAGGGCTTGTTTGGATTCTTGTCTTCCCAAAGGCAGCCAGCATTGCAAGCATGTGCACCCTTAGATTCAAGGGGTGGCCAACAGTAGTTGGAGCAGTACGAGGACAGAATTTGGACATGCAGTCCAAAGTTTCCACGTGTGTATGTGTGAGGTCCTCACAGTGTGAAATGGAGCTGGGAACAGAAAGAGACGGGTGGGCTGCAGGCCATCTTTCCTACAGTGCTAAGTTCTGATAAGGAACTCCAAAGAACCTAAAAATGTCAAATGCAGGCCTGGTCTCCTGTCAAGGTAGGTGATAGAATGTATCTTACTCAACAGTTTGTCAGCTTGATTTATAACATTTAAATATTTAGGCATATGGTAAATGGGCTTCTATTTGTACTCTTGTCCTAAGCTGAGAATTCATTTGGGGGTGAGGATACCCTCTTACTATTCCACGGAATAATACAGACCCCTGGTTTGATATCAAAACTATTTAGGTTCCTGGGGATGCTTTAATCTAGCTTTAACCTAGGTACAAGCTCAACTTTGGCCATCACTACATTGGTTTATGGGGTTGAAACAGAGCAGTGCTGGGTCCCCAGGGGCTGTTCACCCTGAGTGAATCCACTTCCTCAACACATCTAAAGAATAAGCCTTTTTAGTCATAGCTGCGAGAGTGCCCCAGAGTTGCTGCTATTTCTGCCTAATAATAAAGGCATAGAAAACAGAGGCTAACCTCGAAGATCACCAAGCAGATAGATGCTCAAGTCTTCTTGGGTGGGCAATTCAGGTGTGTTCTTCCCATGAGGCTCCTGACTGGGTCAAAGGAGGCAGGCCTTAAACACATAGATTCTATTTTCTTATTTATTACAGTAGTTCATAGAGCTATTCTGATAAACCATGGCTGAAGAGGCTTTCTCTTTGAGTCTGACATTCACATGAGACCACATGTTTTGCATATGCACTCATGTGTTAATATTTCTCTGCAGCCCGTGAGGCCTCGAACACCAAATCCCTGGTCACAGAGTCCAGTCCTCAGCCTAAACGGAAGAAGCAGTCAAAGATCACTTGTCAAAGATCTACGCACTGCCCGGGAAAAAAGGATTGCAATGGGACCATTTGGATCTGACAGCCCAGATTTCTAGCTGGGTAAATACCGGAGGCAAGGTTTTTCCAGGGTCATATCCTCTTTCTGTGGAAGGAAAGGTGATTATTTCTAGGATGAGCCCTTCTCTTGCTCCAAGACACAGGTAGCAGTGAACCCATCTTTCACTGATATTGTATAATCTGTCATAATGCTTATAAAGAAATATCTATCTAACAGTAGACTTGGTTTTTTAATGCGCACCATTTACACAGAGGGTTAAAGACATCACATTAGGTGATAGAGATATTTTTCCGTATCCCAGAAAAGTCATATTAAATATAGATCCAGAGCTCCAAGTTTTACTAGAGTAGAAATACTGACAGACCCAATATCTTTTGCAAGCTATATAAAGTGCTTTCTGAAACATAAACTAGAATCCTATTTGTTTAGGCAAAAAACAGCTTAGGTAATTTTTTTTTTTTTTTAATCCACAAATCTAGGCTTATTCTGGAGCAGATTCTTTCACTGTAGCTCCCAGGCAATGAGGAAGCCATGTCATTGGACTATTACAAGAAAACCAAGCCCCCTCTTTTATGTGGGTGGGTGTCAATACTTTTAGATCCCTGGGAAGCATTGCTGCAGTTTCACAAGGCCAACTGGCAATTCTCACGAGCCTCAATATACTGAATGCTTAAATGATTTAAGCATCATAAAAAGTTGCAAACTGTTTCTGTGTCATATTATGGGACTCTGTAAGAGCGCATAATACCCCCAAAAATTACCATGGAAGAGGAGAGACCAAGAATTCAAAGTAGTATGAATCCAGCTTTCTTTCCTAAATATTGATTGTTGTTTACATCTTAAAAAGGTTGGGACATTCAATGATTAAAATAAGGCAATATGAAACTTTCTTCCCCTTTTCTTCCCCTAATCACATCCTCTCTTTCAGCAGCACTGTTAACATCAGAAATATGTAAAGCAATATTCTGAACCCCTAGCAGCTATGGAATGTGGGGGAGAAAGAACATTGTAGGATATCAGTTAAACAACATAACGGAAAATCTTCCCTTTTCCTGGCTCATGTAACCCATATTTTTATTTATTCGTTTACACATCCCACCCAAGTAGAATAGTAATCCAAAAAGCACCATCACATATTTCAAAGCTATTCCACATCTATCAAACCTAAGGATTCTGGGATCTGGCTACCATGAGGCCTTTGAGACAGTAAATAATTCTGTACGAGTACTTTCTTGGCCCCTCTGTCTTTGACTTTGTCATTTGGTAGTGAATGGACTTTATTGTCCACACTGCACAGCTGGCAAGAACAAGAGAACAGAACTGAACCCTTCAGTCAGTCAGTCAGTCAGCGAGGCCAAACAGAGGGTCTTTTAGGTCGTCAGCACTATGGGAGATGTAGCAGCCACAGAAGAAATGGCCCTTGTCCTCAAGGAGTTTACAATGGTTTTTCTAAAACACACATATAAGAACCTTTCAAAGACAATATGCTTCATCTAGCAGGAATCGTGTGGCTCACAGAAGATGTGCTGTGGGAGTCCCTGTGAAGGGGGGCTCAGGAGTACTGGATTAGTCATGGAGGCACGGAACTTGCTTGGATCTCAGAAATTGCCCAAGACTTAGGTAGACACAGAGGAGGAGTGAAGACCTTCCTTGGATCTCAGAAATTGCCCAAGACTTAGGTAGACACAGGGGAGGAGTGAAGACCTTCCAGGTGAGGGGAAGGACAGGAGAAAAAGCTGGAGGAAGGAATGAGCTTGGCAGAAGTCCATGACACTTCCCTTTTCCTTTCTGTTTCCAAGTTGGTTTGCTTGTTACTTTGCAATAGAGAAACTGGGCATCCATTCTCCTTACCAAATCCATTCATATTAACAAAATGTTAAATGACAAAATACTCCAGGAGTTCCACACATCCTTTATAAAAGGCCTTGCCTGTCTTTCCTGTCTGAAAGCATTTGTAGGAGATCCTCTTCTCACAAAGAATGTCCCAATTGTCTCTTTTCTATTGCTCCTCCTGTCATCTGTCCCTTTCTTCTGCCACAGACATCCATCAGCTTCACTGGAAGCTTCTGTTTGGCCCAGTGTGTGGGAGAAACGCCATGTTGACCTTCTCTTGGTCAAGACCTAAAGAACATTTCCGTTTTCAACCAAGATTCATGTCTTTACTGGTTGACATATTTCATCTGAGTTAGCATCCATTAGTGAGACTACATCAACAGAAGTCTTCCTGACCAGACCAACAGCAAGGTAGGGGGCGTGGGTCAGAAGAAAAGCATCTGCCTTAGAATTTATTTTTTCCCTTCCCACAACCTCCTCTTGGTTCTCCCTAATTCCCATACCATACCCCATCATTTTTTAAAATTTTATTTTTTAATTCTAGTTGACATACAATATTATATTAGTGTCAGGTATACAGCATCGTGGTTAGACATTTATATAACTTGCATATATTCTCCCCCAATAAGTCTAGCACTCACTTGACACCAGACATAATTATTACAGTATTATTGACTATATTCCCTACACTGTACTTTACATCCCCATGACTATTTTGTAACTGCCAATTTGTACTTCTTAATCCCTTCACCTTTTTCACCCAGTTCCCCAACCCCTCTAAACTCTGGCAACCATCAGTCTGTTCTTTGTATCCATTTCCTTTTATTTTTGTATTTTTAAATGTATTTATTGATTAGAGAGAGAGAGAGAGAGAGAGAGAGAGAGAGAGAAACATCGATTTGTTGTTCCACTTATTTGTGCATTCATTGGTTGGTTCTTGTATATGCCCTGATGGGTGATGGAACACGCAGCCTTGGCTTATCGGGACAGCGCTCTAACCAACTGACCTACCCAGCCAGGGTTGTATCCATTTCTTCATGATCTATAATGTCAGCAATAGTCACCAAATGCCTGTATTTAGTCATCACGGATATACCTGGAAGTATACGACAGTTTTTCTGACTGAGGAGTTTATTGTCTAGGTGGATAAAATGGGCTCGTTTGCTGGAGGCAGCATCAGAGCCTCTCAGAGGTCAAGAGTGGGCTGGGAACTCTGCCTTTTTTGAGGCTCCAGCTATATTTTAAAAAACAAAGTGCCCAGCCCTGGCTGATGTGGCTCAGTTGGTTGGAGCGTCCTCCTGTACACCAAAAGGTGGTGGGTTTGATTCCTGGTCAGGGCACATACTCAGGTTGCAGATTCATCCTAAACTGAATTTTTAAAAATGATGCTAGATTTTTAGTGTATACACTTAACATTTTTTTTTTTTTTTTTTTTTTTTTTAATCGTCACCTGAGGATTTTTTTTTTTTCCCATTGTTTTTTTCAGAGAGAGTAGAAGGGGGAGAGAGAGAGAAACATCAACGTGAGAGAGACACAACCCAAATTTCCATCAACAGATGGATGGATAAATAAAATTTGGTGTATCCATGCAATGAAATATTATTTGTTAATAAGAAACGAAGCACTGATACATGCTACAACACGCTGAACCTTGAAAACATGCCAAGTGAAGAAAGCCAGTTACAAAAGATCACATATTGTATGATTTTATTTATATAAAATTTCCAGAATAGACAAATTTAGAGAGACAGAAAGTAGATTAGTGTTTGTTTGGGACTGGGAGGACTGGAGAAGAGACTGTGGAGAAGGGGAATAGGAATTGACTGCTAATGGGGCTTCTTAGGAGGAAAAAATATGTTCTAAAATTAGATTGTGGTACTGGTGGCACAACCCTGTGACTATACAAAACCCCTGCATTTTATACTTGAAATAGGCAAATTGTATGGTATTTTAACTATATCTCAATGAAGCTTTTTTTAAAAGTCTAAATTGAAAGCCTTTCATGACTATGTAGGGCACTAGTCAGTGTGGTGTAGTGGACAGAACACCAGTTTGAAAGTCAAATACACCCAAGTCCAAATATTCTGCTATTTATCAATTGTGTGACCCTAGGTAAATAAATTCTCTGCTATTTCTCTTATTCACTGTAAAATGGAGATAATAATTTCTACTTCATAGGACTTTGGAACATTAATTCAAAAAATACTTATTGAGCAGTTACCATGTTCCAGGCACTATTCTAGGCTCTGGGGATACAGCAGTGACCAGGATAGCCAAGGATCTCTACAGTATATCTCATTAAAAAGAAAAAAATCTAGACCTTTACATGAAATCTCTTCAATGTTAAACATTGGAAATTAATTTCAAAGTAATAAAAACACTGTAAGCCGGCACTTTGTCAAAACATCTGTGAGCCAAACTCTGACCTTGGGCTGGCAGTTTGTGACCCCTAATGTAGGTTTTTCAGATGGTGAGTTTCCAGTATATTGCTCATTTGACTGAACCTTGGCACCCTCAGCCTGCTCCCATTTGCTGCCCAGCATTAATCAAAGAAACGTTCCTCATAAAATTCAGGGACATCATCCTACCAAGTAATTGCGCCAGGCAGCGGACCGGGTCCCAACCATCTCTATAAGATGCTGCGGCCTTCCTCACTGACCCGGTGAGGCCCCATTCCTTTCCCATGCCTCGGCCCAACTGGCCGTTCATGCAGGAGGGGTTTGGAAGAGGCTTGTGCTTCTCACGTTTTTCAAGATCATCAGTCTTCTGAGGACTTCTGTGGGAGGCCAGTTCAGTACACAGTCTCAGATTTTAGAATTTAGACATTCATTTTCCTTTACCTGCTCATACCTATCACTTCAACTGGTTTTGGCCAAAAATGTAAGTGTGCAGTAGCAGTATAGACAGCTCTTTTCTGGAATTCCATAATGGGCGATTAATCTGCTTTAATTCTCTAACATATCCATGATTTCAGTAAAGAAAAAACAAGTTTTAAATTTACCTTGTAGCTATTCAATTCAGAGTCAAACAACTTCATATTGCTCACCCATCGACAGAGCAGTAGTTTAAAGCTCTGGGAAGAGGGCATCTAGAGAGAGGATTCATTGGACCATACTATCCCATCAACGCCAGATTCGTTTCGAGTGCTTCACCCATAGGGTCCTGGAATTCCCTAGAGCCTCTGAGGTTGAGACTCTCACAGCGGAGCACATCAGAATTCCAAAAGTAGCAGTTTCCTTCTGCTACTAATAGCTACGTGATTGTACAAATTCCTTTATCGTTTTGAGTTTTCCATTCATCTTTGTAACATGAAAATAGTAATAATTATCTTATGGGTCAAGTGCAGTGGTTCTCAACCTGGTTGCATATTAAAATTGCTT